GGGGGGGGGGGGGAAGAGATACATCTTAACTCGAAACCACGCTTGATTCCAGCACTTTTAATTTTCAAATTAGAGAGAAGTAAAGCCACAGTACTTCTTCGTAATAAATCACCATAAGTATTACACATGAAAAATTACAATTATTCATCGCTCAATGTCATGATACAATCTTTTTCGATATTTTTCATTTTTTTAAAGGAAAACAACTACCTCCATAAACGCTGGATAAGAATATTTCTCAAAGTTTTCCAGCATATGAATCTTCAGGTTCCTACGATAGGCTATTGTTCCAGTCTTCCAAGTCCCTACCGCTGTTGATGGTGGACATAAAAATTACCAAGACGGGTTTCCCACGAATGGCATGATGCTCATGCGAAAATCGATATATTAATGTCCACATTATTGTCCGTGACAGAATCATGGGATGAATACACAGACATACGGAGTTGTGTATAAAGATTCATTAACATATTATTTATGATCTATTATCATCATTGGCAAAACAGCCCTTTTTGAGCCATAGCCTTCCTTAGAAATTCTGTCAGACTTGTCCAATCCGTCGTGAATTAGACCATTCGGTATTCACTTTTTTGGATTTCGAAACAGTACTGCTTTTCAGAGCAAGTCAGTCTTGCGTTCAACCCCAAACCTGCAAGATTTACAACCTATACTCAGTGGAAAATATCCTAATATATCTAGCATGAATTTAGGGCTTCAATCCTTTCTTCTCAACACTTACTTTTTGTCGCAAGACATAAATAACATTCGCATATTAACCTACTTTATATATTTCGGTCGGGCAGTGTGACCATCACCACATTATGCATTAACATTGTCCGTGAGCTGGTACACTGCTGCATCTCAGGATTTATTATCATTAGTCGAATATTTTAGCTTAATTATTTACGGCCTGGGATTAAAATCCCTGCACTAATTAATATTAAGATTTAATGAAATTGGCAAGGTTCGTTCTTTCTTTCCGTCCTTGGTGCAGCTACGTGGGGGTTCCCCTCTTACGTTTGTTCGGTACGGTGTTGATTGATATGTGGAACAAGATAATATTATGTATAGAGGGAACGATAATAATATTTTAAGCAGGATACTAAGTGACTCTGGTGCCTATCAAACTAACTCTCTGATGACGGATGTTAGTAAGTGACATTCAAAGAAGAGAAACGTGTGTGACTGACTTTGCAAAGTAGCATTTCTGTCTGCTATAATAGAGTGATATCAGGAATAAAAGATCATCAAGATCAATGCAGTACGGAAAACCGAAAAGACTTAGCATCAATGCCGAAGTAATAAACAGCACTCTCGGATGTTACTTGTAAGAGCCGATAGCTCCGGCCCCTAATTCCGCTACTTGACAAAATAGTAAGCTAGGTTCATCCACCGCTAGTATTCATAACCTAATTCATCCCGATGTTCTTCTCTTTCTCCTCTCTGGCCTTTCAAGTGAATGTTTTTCAAAAGGGTTTCAAGCCCAAATTCTGTGTGCATTTCTTGTTTCCCCCATCCTAATCTCATCACTGTCTCCTTCGTTTCAGTATCCCACAGGTAGGACCCAAAAGATTCCTCGTTATGCAACACTCTAAACTGCTCACCTTCTTCCCAGGTTGATATTCTTCCGAGTGTTTCTCTTCGAAATACTCGGCAATTAGATTTCTAACCTCAAAGTAAGAGACCACGTTTAATACCTGTACTTTATAGAGCAATTGAAAAACATATTTTTTTTTATATCCTGATGTTCAGTATTTTAGGAAGTAGGTGGCATGTATATGTTCTTGAGCTGAATAGCAAGCATTACCAGTATTTATTGTTCCCAGAATTTCTATGAGCTTGGCGCGTAGGTGTATCTCACCTGTCCTTGGTTGGGAGACTTGCTGTCGTTACTGTGGCTGTCCTCCACTTGAGTCTTCATCAACTGACTCGCCTCGCTCAGGATGTGCGCTATCCTCTCTTCTGTCATGTTATCCGCGTCGCCTCGGGCAAACGCTGGGATACCCGTGTCTTTTCCTACAAACATCACTACAATGTTACAGCCAAGATAGGCTTCACGTCCTGCTTCTTCCGGGAGAGGATATCGTCTACTCGAAATAAGTGAATCAGTCATTGCAGTAAGACATAGGATTAGATAAGCTGCCTCTGCAGAGCGTGTTCGGTAGAACCTCTGTTTGCACAACGTCTCGAAGTTACAAATTACGTCATGAACTGCATTTTGTCCGCTGTTAATTACTAATTATATAAAACTAAAAAAAGTTATCCCTGTAATAGGCCGTCGAGGCTCCCACATTTTCTAGATAATCACCTCATAGATGGTGGTGAGGTTGTCAGCCTTAAGCGACGGCCTCCCTTTATGCCCAGGAAGATTCTTTGTACTCATTTTTGTTAGGAGGCTGAGTAGACCCCAGGGCCATAGTACAGCTGGAAGGGTTAGGTCAACTAAAGATCCAATTACCTCATCGGGGATCGAACCCGCGACCTTCCGGTTTGTGGCATAGTGCCTCAACAAACTACGCTACCGTGTACCCCCTTTTTATATAAACTTAAATGTATTCATTTTTATTGTTCTGTGACAAATTATGTCAACATAAAAATCTGGTAGGTTGCTTCAGTAATTTGCAAGTTATGTCCATGATTTTGTTACTGTAAATTACAAATTATGTCAAAGTAAAATTTTGTCTGTTATCTTTCTGTATGTTACAAATTCTGGGAGGTAAAATTTCGTTGGCTGTTCTGAAAGTTATAGATTATGCCAAAGTAGTATTTCGCTCACTCTAATATAAAGTTATAGATTGTGTAAATGTAATATTTCGTCTCGGATAATAAATCAACTGCAGTATTCATGACCTAGTTAGGTTTCAAGCAGTTTCGTCTGACGAATTATTATTTTATGAATCAAGATGTACGCATACTTATCTCCTATTGCGATAAAGAAATGACATACCTTAAGAAAAGTATATTCCATTTATTGTCTGTGCATTGTGTTGCAATGACTAATTCAATTAGCCTGTAAATTCTATACAATTCAAACTAAACATGACATACAACGGCCTTTTCTTTGTGGTATAAGTCTTAGAACTGCATTAAATTAAATAAAACAAATTATGTAGAAACTGATTTATTATTATATAGTACTCAAGAAGTTAAAGATTAATAACAGTGTAATAAAGCAGAGGATAGGGTATGGACGTTAATAATGTATGATGAAGAGTAAAAAATATTTAAAACACTACAATCACACTTATATGAGAACACAATAACAATATTGAAAACAAATTATACCATCATAAATTACTGATTAAAATAATTTCTCTTGAAAAAAGTACTCTGGTCTGAACTTACGTTTTCGGGCATCAATTTCTTCTATCAAAAATTCTTTCTCATTAACATACAGGAAACATTTTGGCGGTGGGAATAATACATAAATATGAAGATTTATATATGTATTATCTTTCGCGTTGCACACTCTGCAAAAATCATTTGAGGCGTCTATTGCACAAAATAAATCATTCGCCCACTAAATGCTTAGGTACTTTTCCTGTAACTTCAGGATCATCTGTTTTAATTCTATTAAGGCACTTTATACACTAATAAAAAAATATACCGGGTGGTAATACAGGTAACATGGACCCTGTGCTTAATTAAGTACAACGACATAGAATTATGAGGACGTGAAGGTACAGCTCCATGCTATAGATACACGTACATCAGATGAAAGTGAGTGGTCAGTTCCATGTCCCGGCCCTATAATTTGAGAAAAGGGCCCCGGTAACCATTGGATTGGAGGCTGGGTGGGTTCCAGACCCGGTATGGGGATGATCGTGTAAAAATAAACACGCGTTCAATACAAACAGCGAGACGATAACAACAAACATGGAGCTTGGAGCAGGACTTAGAAAACCTACCTCCCGTCTGTTCACAATTCTATACTGCGAATGTTGTCATGTAAATGATATCTTTAAGTAACGTAAGTTAATAACACAAGAATACAATTCGATTTAGATGATGGGGTAGCGTGCAGAGCTCGTGAGCAGATAGCAGAGTCCTTACTTCATTTGCCTGCAACTGCAAATACGTTTTATAACAACAACTCCGTTGAATTCAGCTCTTTCTTTATTTAAGGGATTACTCAAGAGCCCAAAGGCCAGTTGTAAGTACGAGCAAAGAGGGAAACAACAAAATAATTACAATTCAACTCTCTATTTATTTACGTGATGAGCTCAAGAACCAGTGGACAATTACAGACTGTCACGAAACAAGAACAGAAAAAAAACGAAATGAAAACAAAAATAACCGAAATAATAAATTATTATTATTATTATTATTATTATTATTGTGAAGATGAGCCGGGATAGCTGGACGGTCGAAGGGTCAGAGTTAGAGTCACGGTAGGGGCAAGATTTTTCTCCTCTCCACGTGTTCCAGACCGGTTCTGGGGCCAAACCAGCATTCTATCCAATGGGTACCGGGAGCCCTTTCCCCTGGGGTAAGGCGACCGGATAGTGAAGCTGACCACTCATACCAAACTACGAGTAGCGCTGAGGTCACTCCCCCTCAAGTCTTCATAGCGTAGTGCTTAAACAGTCAAGCACAGCGATAGCTTTACCTTTATATGTGAACAGGTGGTAACAGGGAAGAATTCTGTTCTAGTAGACATTTTTTCTTGTTTGAAACTGCAAATGTGTCACATACATATTGCTTGTTGTTACTGTTGTTATTATTATTATTATTATTATTGTAGGGAAGTTGAGGTCTTTGAACCAAAGACTCTGTTGATGAAACATATCTTATACTGAATTAATTATTTTATTATTATTATTGTATGCTGCTCTATTTGAAACTCAAATTCTCACATTGTGGCTTTGTCTGTGTGTTTCTGTATCTTTATTCATGTTCACTGTGTAATTAATATAGACTACCATTTTTGTATTTTGTTTTTTAATTATTTTTGTGTATTTCTCTCTATTCGTGCTAGCTTTGTAATTGGCCTCTGTGCTGTTAAGTTTGCACGTAAATAAACACGAATTGAATTGATTTATTATTATTATTCTCTCGTTAAGATAAAATTATAAGGTGACCATGCTGAAGCCGTTAAATATATCCTCCAAATTTAGTATTTGTAATTGCTGACGTACGACGAATATTTCAATAGCCTATAATTTGTAGGTGCGTTTCTAATCTATCTTCATAAAAATCACGTCTTGCTCGAGTGATTTATTAACTGTCACCGTAAAACCGACATCTGAATACAATTTCTCCCGGCCACCATGTTTTACACTACACAAAGAAATTGCAATACATAAAATTGCACATTACTTTCGAATATATTTTCACGCACATACTTTCAAGACCTTAAATTAAGTGGCAGTAGGGTCACTCACACTTCTGATGTTCACAGTACATCCTCACGTTGGTATTACTGATCGTACGACGTTGGACTGACTCCTAGTGACATGACCTTCATGACAAATTTCGCGAAGATCATTCAAACACAGACAACAGGGGTACCTTGTAAGTCCGCTTTTTTCCTCCTTAAGAAACGGAAGAAGGTTAAAAGCACTGAAAAGTCGCTAAAAAAACTGCACGTTGTAAGCAGAAACAGCCCAAATTAGCGACGGGGCAATGTACTGGGAATAGTCATAGTGAAGTACAAGTTAAAATTCAGAACGAAATCGTTAAAAATTGTCCCGTGTTGCCATGCAGTCAGATGCCAAATCCGTTTCATTAGTCAACTAACAGTTGGTGCAAAAGGAATCAGTGCTGGATATACAACCCGTACAACAGGTGACTCAAGCGGGACAGCGGCAAGTTCAGGAGGAGCAGAGTTGTACTTGTTTTTCTCACGAATTACCTTAATAATTGTCTGCCGGAACAATGTAGTGTACATCACCGTTATAACCATAAATTTAAAAAACTCGAATCAAACACTAATTAAAAAGTTCTACCTCCGGCATACACACCAAGTAAACATTTCAAACAACAACAACATACTTTCAAATCATTCAAACCAGAGATAAAAAGCCATTTCATGCTCTTTTGTTGGTTCGAGGAGAATTTATAATATAAGTTGGTTACACGATTATTATTATTATTATAGCTAACTCTGATCATTCTCAAACGGCAACACCCCCTTTTATACGGTTGGTACACTTAGGAGTTTGCGTGTTACTCAACACATGGATCGCATGCTGAAGGGACCGAAACTTGTACGCTTTGTTTTTTAATTCTACATGATAAGAATCTCGTTTTCTACGAAATGAGTGCCGGAGAGAGCGACATGGTTTATTATCCCCCTCACATAATTTAAATGGTTCTTGCATGCGATATTAGACCTTATTGACTTGTAGCTGTATTATTGACGTTACTAAGCACCGAACTGGATTAGATACACGCCTTGTACATTTGCCACGTAGTGTAGATGTAGATGGGAAGTAAAGCATATTCTGCAGTATCTTCTGTAGTAGTTAACCGCAAGCAGTGGGAGAAAGCCGACTTCAAAACTGATCGCCATTATGAGGAAACATTTCATTTTGTTTATAAAAAAATTGGTTAGCACTCAGAAATAAGATCTGCAGAAACCCCTTTTAACTGACGAAATCTTGATAAACGGTTTAAGGTGAAATTCTCATAAATTAAAACAGAGTTTTGGCCTTTGCAGAAGAATACCAGCGCCGGCGAAATTATTTCATATTTATTTACAAAATAGGTTTCATATTTTGGGACATGACATGTTTATGAAACTGACAATTATGTCACAAATACAATTCACTGTCATGAAGGAACACGTAGATTCTACACGTTTCCGCTCATGACTTCTGTAGTGTTAATTGTTGTGACAAGGTTTTGTATGAATCGATAAATATTATATGTTATGCTTCAACCCAGCGTTCCATGTGGTCTAAGGAAGGTAAGCTGTGGCACGACTGCCACTACTTCTCGCGTCACAGAGTTCTGAGAATCTATTCTGTCAGTACATTCACTCTACATGCCCAAACACTATTCCATTCCGGGAA